CCATTCCCACCCCCTCTCCCCTTCCATTCACATGAGGATTCATTTTCGATTCTCTTTATATACAGAAGATCAGTTTAGCATACATTAAGTAAAGATTTCAACAGTTTGCTCCCACACAGAAACATAAAGTGAAAAATAATAGATGATTTTTTAAATGATGATGAAATCAGATCAGACCTATTGTCATGTTTAATCCCAGTGAGAGTCAAGTTGGGAATTGATAATTTCTTCTTCTTTTTTTTTTTTTTTTACAGAAGATCAGTTTAGTATACATTAAGTAAAGATTTCAACAGTTTGCACCCCCATAGAAACACAGAGTGAAATATACTGTTTGAGTACTTGTTAGAGCATTAAGTCTCAATGTACAGCACGCTAAGGACAGAGATCCTACATGAGGAGTAAGTGCACAGTGACTCCTGTTGTGACTACAAATTGACACTCCTGTTTATGGCATCAGTAATCTCCCTATGCACCAGTCATGAGTTGCCAAGGCTATGGAAGCCTTTTGAGTTCTCCAACTCTTATCTTGTTTAGACAAGGTCATAGTCAAAGTGGAGGTTCTCTCCTCCCTTCAGAGAAAGGTACCTCCTTCTTTGAAGACCTGTTCTTTCCACTGGGATCTCACTCACAGAGATCTTTCATTTAGGGTTTTTTTTTTTTTTTTTTCCAGAGTGTCTTGGCTTTCCATGCCTGAAATACTCTCATGGGCTTTTCAGCCAGATTGGAATGCCTTTAGGGCTGATTCTGAGGCCAGAGTGCTGTTTAGGACATCTGCCATTCTATGAGTCTGCTGAGTATCTCGCTTCCCATGTTGGATCACTCTCCCCTTTATTTATTCTATCAGTTAGTATTAGCAGGTACTAGACTTGTTTATGTGCTCCCTTTGACTCTTAGTCCTTTCATTATGATCAATTGTGAACTGAAATTGATCACTTGGACTGGTGAGATGGCATTGGTACATGCCACCTTGATGGGATTAAATTGGAGTCCCCTGGTATGTTTCTAACTCTACCATTTGGGGCAAGTCAGCCTGAGCATGTCCCAAATTGTACATCTCTTCCCTCTCTTATTCCCACTCTTATGTTTAACAGGGATCACATTTCAGTTAAATTTCAACACTTAAGAATAACTGTGTATTAATTACAGAATTAAACCAGTCATATTAAGTAGAACAGACAAAAAAACTACTAAGAGGGATAATGTATTAAGTTGTTCATTAACAGTCAGGGCTATGCTGATCAAGTCACTGTTTCCCATAGTGTCCATTTCACTTCAACAGGTTTCCTTTTTGGTGGTCAGTCAGTTGTCACCGATCAGGGAGAACATATGGTATTAAGACAAAGGTAATTCTGAAAGGAGACAGCCCCAGCACAGTGTTTCTTGGTAATCATCATAGTTATGGTGGTAATTGTGGTGGAGCTTTGAGGGTAGAAGGGAATGGGGTGGTTATTGGAGAAAATGTGGTACATTTAAAGTGAAAACGGATCTATCAAGGGTATTATTTAATTGTTTACTACTTTTGGAATCTAGTCTTGAATCTATAAGATAATGCATAGCAAAATGGAGACGTGAGCTAGATTGGCATGTGACTGTGGGCATGTAGAACAATCTGTTAAAGATTGCTTGCTTGCATAGAAGTTTGTAGTGCCTGAAAGAAGTCACTTATTCCATAAAGAAAAATGGTTCCTAGTTTCAATTTTCATATTTTGCCAAACTGTATCAGAATGCAGTTTGGAAAACAGCATTAGAAATTATTGATCTGCATGGAAGATACATAAAAGAGAATGCATTTTCTCTGTAGCAGACATGCTTATGCCCTACCATACTGTTCACATGACAAACCGTATTGATTTGTTTTTCTTAATTTCTTAAAGTTTATAATAAGTTTTACAGCAATATATAAAACAGTGCCTGGGAACGCAAAACACTGGGGTCATGGTTCACAAAGCATTTATAAGGAACTGCTGATACATCTTTTGAGGCCATCCCTGTTAACCCACTGTTACAATAGATGTCTGAGGAGCATATTAATATGCCCATTAGCAGTGTAAGTCTATTTCATTTTTGGGTCAAACAGCCAAAAGAATATTTCTTTTTTTTCCTTTTCTTCTTCTGATTGCCCTACCTGGGCTGTAACTAGCTGAACATTTACAACTCTGAATGATATAATGCAATTAAGATTCTCCATAACATTCTAATTTGCATATCTCATTATATAGAGTGACACCATTAGAAGACATGTGTTGAAGCTTTCAAAATGATTATGATATGTGAATGTATTAAAGGATGAATATGCTTTGCTGAACTGAGATTGTACAGTTTTCTTGGGCAAACTTAGGCTGGCAGGTGCTTTCTGGCTAAGTGATTTCTAAGAGTAAGTCCCAATTATGTTCTTTATTTTGCTTTTCTTTTCTATGAACACAAGCACAGAAGCTCAAAATAAAACATAAATGTCCTAAAATAGAAGATTCAGAGACAATAATTATTGAAGTACAATTATCTGGGCTTCTTAGTGTGCTTACCCCTCCAGATTTGCTCTTTTTTTTTTTTTTTTTTTTTTTTTTTTTTTTGACAGGCAGAGTGGACAGTGAGAGAGAGAGACAGAGAGAAAGGTCTTCCTTTGCCGTTGGTTCACCTTCCAATGGTGATCACAGCGCTGATCCGATGGCAGGAGCCAGGAGCCACGTGCTTTTCCTGGTCTCCCATGGGGTGCAGGGCCCAAGCACCTGGGCCATCCTCCACTGCACTCCCTGGCCACAGCAGAGAGCTGGCCTGGAAGAGGGGCAACCGGGACAGAATCCGGCGCCCCGACCGGGACTAGAACCCGGTGTGCCGGCGCCGCTAGGCGGAGGATTAGCCTAGTGAGCCGCGGCGCCGGCGACAGATTTGCTCTTTGATCTGTGCCCCCAATCTCTGACCCACAATGCTGATTTTAAGAGATGGCATCATGCACTCTCCTTTAGCTTTGATTTCTGGTTGGGACTGGCCAATAGGAGGCATTGGCAATTTACAGACGTTGAAGTATTTGTTTCTCTAGTTTGTTTTCTACTGTACTGAGATTTAGCAATGACTACTTTTGGAGAAGGCTTTCCATGAGATAAATGACTTGGGGTCTGTGCTGTGGCATAGTGGGTAAGGCTGCAATTTTCAGATTCTACTGAAAGATATAATTTAAGAGGAAAGGATAAATTATAATAGAAAGAATGAACTCTTGAATTGTTTGATTAGGTAATTAACAAACAGTAATGAATGATGCAGACACATCAGAGATATTAAATTCTAAGTCCTTTAACGTGAATTACTGATAAAGATAATGTATAACTCACAATATGACAATATATGGAAGACAGGACAAGTTGCTTAATGGTTGTTGTCAAGTCAAAGAACAGTTAGTATTACTCACCACACAAGAAAACTTTAAAAGTCCTGTAATCTTGCAGCTTATACATGAATGAAATTTGATGGGTTTCATACTGGATCCAGCTCCTCACTCCAACTTCCTGCGAATGCAGACCCTGGGAGGCAGCAGTGAGGGCTCAGGTGACCGAGTTCCTGCTTGGGCTGTGCCCAACCCTGATCACTGCTACACCACAGTGCCAGTCATTCAACACTTTCTTAAAAGAGGAAAAGAACAATGCTCCTATTCCTGTGTGTGGCACAATAGTCTGTTGTTGTTATTTCTATATGCTCAATAACTTGAAAGGAGAGAAAAATGTGCATACTAAATGATAATATGAAAATGAAAACAAAGAAAAATATATTCTGGAAAGAAGACATAATGCCAAAGGTTAACAATGATGAGAAAAAAAAAACTTGAGAGTAATTAAGCCTGCTCATAAGATTCAAGCCAATAAAGCAAGGAGATTACGGAAGAGGGGTAGATTGAGACAGGACTTCTGTGAGGGTGGCATCAAGGAGGGCAGCGATTCTCCCCCTTCAAAGCCAACCATGAAAATGGATAATATTGTAAAGAACAACTTGTAGAAAGCAACCAAAGGCAAACTGCGAATTCAGAAATGCTCATTCACACTGCTGGATGTTAGGTGAGAACAGCCGGAGTTTGTGATGTTCCTGCCTGAGGCTTTTTTTCTACCCGCCCTCTCTCCCAGAATTTCGAAACTGCTAACTTAGTGCCTTTGTAAAGCCGGGGTAAGACTGGCTGTGAAAAAGTTTCCCTGATAGAGATGCCTGGGTTCACATGGAGTGGAGGGTAGCCTGGAGCTTCTTCCAGGTCTTCCACATGGGTGCAGGGACCCAAGGACTTGGGCCATCTTCCACTGCTTTCCCAGCCATAGCAGAGAGCTGGATTAGAAGTGGAGTGGTCAAACCAGCACCCATATGGGATGCTGGCACTGCAGGCAGCGGCTTTACCAGCTATGCCACAGCGCCAGCCCTTATTTTCAGTTTACTTTATACTCATAAGATTGACACTGTTTTAATTTAGCTTCAGAAGTCCAAATGTCTTAAGAAATCAGCGGTAAGTTTTTATTCATTTCTCTTTGTTTATATAATTAGGTCAATATTGACAAGTTATTTTTTTAGATGGAGGGATATAATGGAAGCAATTATCTTTTGAAGTTCTAAGTGAGTATTACCCTGGAAGCATTGAAGAAGAATTACCGTTTAGGTTGGAAAGGAATGCCGGGCTTTATGACTAGATTTATCAAATTTGTTGTCCCCAATTTTGATTTCTAACTTTCCAAATTGAGTAACCTTGCTTAACACTCCTTTGGCTCACTCCTCTTTAACACTTAACTTGGTGATGTTTGTTAAACAAATGCTTATTGACTTACCTATAACAAAATATTTTCCTTTTTTGTTAACAAGACACATGTATCATACTGGCTTGTATTTATCACCTTGGGTTCTGTGTATCTGGTCTGTATAATATTAACATGACCCAAACATTAGCTTGATTTAGTTGGGTTTGGTATGGCTTTGTCCAAACATGTTTTGTGTCCATACATCAGCTGTCTAAAACTCATTTGCAGGTGTCGGCCATGTCCCTTTCAATCAGGTTAGTGTGACTTGGGAAGCAGATTGCTTATTAGCATACTGTCTGATCAATCTAATAAACTTTAATTCAGTTCCATTTAGCTTATTCCTCCCCAGGGCACAGTGTGACTTTCTCTAATTTGTTGAGGTAAAGATGTGATCCCACACACTCAGTGAAACCCAGATAAACTTATCCAACATTTCCCTCACAAGCACAAGCTACAGCACTGCCTGCCATGATACAACCTTCAGTCTCCTATTTTATCTGATTACCCACTTACTGAATCATCAGCTGTACTTTTCCAGAAAATGCAACCACTGAGTCAATGTAGAAACTATGGAAATTAAGTATAACCATTGAGATGAGTATTCCAAGTCATCTGAAAATGCTAATGGGGACAACACATCAGAGTTTGCTGGTCAAAGTTTTCCCTGATATAATCGACATGAACATAGCATGAATTTCCATGATTACATTTTGGACACACTTTTTCAGACTCCTGTTAACTTTTTTTTCTTAAGATTTATGTATTTTATTTGAAAGACGAGTTATAGAGAGAGCGAGAGGCAGAGGCAGAGAGAGAGAGAGAGAGAGATCTTCCATTCACTGGTTCACTTCCCAAATGGTCCTGATGGCTGGAGCTGGGAGCCAGGAGCCAGGAGCCAGGAGCTTCTTCCAGATCTCCCATGTGTGTGCAGGGGCCCAAGCACTTGAGCTGTCTTCATCTATTTTCCCAGGCACATTCGTAGGGAGCTGGAAATGATGTGGAGCAACTGGGACTTGAACCAGCACCCATATGGGATGCTGGCACTGCAGACCACAGTTTAACATGCTATGCCACAGTGCCATTCCTTCATGTTAGCTTTTAAAACAGAAATATTTATAGTGAAAGTGATTATACTGTCCCTATCTTCTCACTCCACCAGAGCATTCGGTCTTGTCTTTTTTTTTTTTTCTATTTTGGAAGTTAGAAGAGACAAGGAAAAATAAAAAGCATACGAATTTTTGCATCAATCAACTCTATTTAAATTTTAATTACAAATAGCAGTATTATTCTGGGAACATCTCTAAAGTCTCTGTGGTTCAGTGTCCTTAGAATGGCAATATTAAGACCAATCTCAGAGGGTGAGTATATCAAACAGAGAAACAAAACCTCGGCCCAAGTAGGTACACAACAGATCCTGTCTAATACCCTTTCTTTCCCACTACTTTTTCTTCACTATTACAAACTTTTGCATGTCCACATAAAATAAATATGGGTAATCATGATATTCTCTTCTTTCCTGACTAAGCCTTTCTCTATCTTGTAGGGAAATACGATGATATTCACTCACTCTTTCATTTATTTGTTCAATGACTGTTATGGATTGAGCAGTGTTCTAAATATTGGAGATGGTTATAAATGAAACAAAACTCCTTGTCTTCAAAGAATATACAATAATAATTCTGTGAAATCATATAGGCTTAGCTCTTTCAAAAAACTTAAGTTAATATAGCACTCTTTCAAAAACCTTAAGTTAATATAGCATTGAACAGAATTATAACATTCTTCTTCCCCTCAAAGAAATCTTTTATTTAAGGAATTCAGACTTCATGCATTTCATAAGTACAACTTTAGGAATATAGGGATTTTTCCCACCATACCCACCCTCCCATCCACTCTAATTTTTTTAAAGTGACTTGATCAGCTCTTGTCCTGACTGTTGATGTACAATGTAATACTTTATCCATTTTAGTATTTTTTTGTTCTAGTACTATTGGTTGAACTCTGTAATTAACACACAATTATTCTTAGGTGTTTAAATTTTAACTGAAAAGTGATCCCTGTTAGGAATTTGGAAAACATTATGCTGAGTGAAATAAGCCAGTCCCAAATGGACAAATATCATATGTTCTCCCTGAATGGTGACAATTAACTGAGCACCAAAAAGGAAACCTGTTAAAGTGAAATGAACACTATGAGAAACGGTGACTTGATCAGACCTTGCCCTGACTGTTGATGAACAACTTAATACGTTATCCCTCTTAGTATTTTTTTTTGTTTGTTCTACTTAATACTTTTGGTTGAATACTGTAATCAATACACAGTTATTCTTAAGTGTTGAAACTTAACTGAAAAGTGATCACTGTTAAATATAAGAGTGGGAATAAGAGAGGGAAGAGATGTACAATTTGGGACATGCTCAAGCTGACTTTCCCCAAATGGTAGAGTTAGAAACATACCAGGGGATTCCAATTCAATCCCATCAAGGGGGGCATGTACCAATGCCATCTCACTAGTCCCAGTGATCAATTTCTGTTCACAACTGATCATAATGATAGGACTAAGAGCCAAAGGGATCACATAAACAACACTAGTGTCTGCAAATACTAACTGATAAAAAAAAAGGGAGAGAATGATCCAACATGGGAAGCGGGATACACAGCAGACTCATGGAATGGCAGATGTCCTAAATAGCACTCTGGCCTCAGAATTAGCCCTTAAGGCATTTGCATCTGGCTAAAAAGCCCATGAGGCTATTTCAAGCATGGAAAGCCAAGACACTCTGGCAAAAAAAAAAAAAAAAAAAAAAAAAATGACCTAAATAAAAGATCTCCACGAGTGAGATCCCAGTGGAAAGAATGGGTCATCAAAGAAGGAGGTACCTTTCTCTTAAGGGAGGAGAGAACTTCCACTTTGACTACGACCTTGTCTAAATATGATCAGAGTCGGTGAACTCAAAAGGCTTCCATAGCCTTGGAAACTCATGACAAGAGCCTAGGGTGATTACTGATGCCATAAACAAGAGTGTCAAATTGTTAAGTCAACAACAGGAGTCATTGTGCACTTACTCCTCATATAGGATCTCTGTCCTTAATGTGCTGTACATTGAGATTTAATGCTATAACTAGTACTCAAACAGTATTTTTTTCTTTGTGTTTCCATGTGGGTGCAAACTGTTGAAATCTTTACTTAATGTATGCTAAACTGATCTTCTGTATATAAAGAGAATTGAAAATGAATCTTGATGTGAATGGAAGGGGAGAGGGAGTGGGAAAGGGGAGGGTTGCATGTGGGAGGGGAAGTTTGGGGGGGTGGGGAAGCCATTGTAATCCATAAGCTGAACTTTGGAAATTTATATTCATTAAATAAAAGTTAAAAAAAGATTTTATTTATTTGAAAGGAGCATTATAGAGAGAGAGAGAGAGAGGGGCAGAGAAAAGGATCTTTTATCCACTGTTATACACTCCAAATGAAAGCAAAAGCCAAAGCTGAGCTGGTCCGAAGCCAGGAGTTTCTTCCAGGTTTCCCACATGTGTGCAGGTGCATTAGTAGGGAGCTGGATCATAAGTGAGCATCTGAGACTCAAATCGGTATCCATATGGGATGCCAGTGCTGCAGGAGACAGCTTTACCCTCTACACCACAGTACCAGCCCCTGAAACTTTCATTCATTGCTGGTGGGGTTGCAGACCCATCACTCTAACACTCCTCCTCCTTCTCCCATTCCCAGTCTCATTCTCCACTAAGATCCATTTTTGATTAACTTTATACACAGAAGATCAACTCTATACTAAGTAGAGTTCAACAATTTTCATGGTAAAAAAAAAAAACACCCAAAAACCAAAAAACAAAACAAAAATAAACTGTTCCTCAACAGCTGAGACAAGGGTTGTTCAAAGTCATTGCATCTTTCTTTCTTTTTTTTTTTTTTTAAAGAAACTTAATTAACTTTAATGAAGCACCCAAGAATTTTGGAAGCATTTTTAGGAGGACTTAGACATAGTTATAATACAACTTTTTGAGGACAAAGTTCCTGCATGGGAGGTTAGCACACAGTGACTCTTGTGGTTAATTTAACAATTAACACACTTATGTATGATGTCAGTGATCACCTGAGGCTCTTGACATGAGCTACCCAGGCTATGGAAGCCTTTTGAATTCACAAACTCTGTCAGTATTTAGACAAGGCCGTAAGTAAAGTAGAAGTTCTCTCCACCCTTCAGAGAAAAATACCTCCTCCTTTGATGACCATTTTTTTCCCCACTGGGATCTCACCCACCGAGGTCCTTCATGTAGGACATTTTTTTTTTGCTACAGTGTCTTGGCTTTCCATGCCTGAAATGCTCTTGTGAGTCTTTCAGCCAGACCAGAATGCTTTAAAGGCTGATTCTGAGATTAGAGTGCTATTTAAAGCAATTCTCATTCTATGGGTCTGCTGTGTGGACTGCTTCCCATGTTGGAGCATTCAGTACTTTTTAATTCTATCTATTATTATTACCAGACCCTGAATCCTATCCATATGAGCACTTCAACATTAAGATGGTATTTTTAACACTCAGCTTAAGGGGACTTGGGGTCCCATGGCAAGCTTTTAAACTGTACCCTTAAAAGTAAGTCCATAGGAATGTATGCAGAAATATACAGCTTTCCAGTTACAAACTTCATATACTTCATAATTATAATTTTATGAACATGGTGATTCATCCCACTGTGCCACCCTCCCAGTCATACTATCAACCTCTCTTCCTCCTCCCTCTTTTATTCCCACTCTTATTTTTACTGAGATACATTTTTCAATTGATTTCATACACATATGTTTAACTCTATGTTAATTAAAGAATTCAACAAATAGTATTAAAAGAAAACAAAACTGTTCCTCAACAATCAAGACAAGGGCTGTTTAAGTTATTGCTTCTCAAAGTGACAATTTCATGTCTACAGAATGCCTTTAGGTACTCTGTTATTTATCACAGGTGAGGGAGAACATGTGGTATTTGCCCCTTTGGGACTGGCTTATGTCACTAAGTATGATGTTTTCTAGATTCATCCATTTTGTTGCAAATGATTGGATTTCAATTTTTTTTTTACTGCTGTGTGGTATTCATAGAGTACATATCCCATAATTTCTTTATCCAGTCTTCAGTTGATGGGCATTTGAGTTGATTCCATGTCTTAGTTATTGTGAATTGAGCTGAAATACACATGGGGGTGCAGATAACTCTTTCGTATGCTGATTTCATTTCTCATGGGTAAATTCC